AAAAATGGTATTATAATTTATGTTTCTCCAACATGCAACTAAACTACTAATTAAAGCAAATGTTTATGTGCACAACATTCCTATTGAGGTGCAGCTCTCATGCTAACCATCATGTAAGTTAGCTAGCTAACGCTATCAGTCACTTCATGCCGTGCTAACATGTCGAGGTCACCTACAATTACAAAAACCATGAACTGTTGATTTGAATATTAATGGAATACGTCTTTATATACTGCTTCACAATAAATCACTGCCACTGTTTATTTAATCTACACTTTGTACCCGTTAACACGACAGCAGACCTAGCAAGGATGCTAGCTAGCCAGTTCGCTGGTGTTGTCTAGAGTATCTCTCAAAATAAGCAAAATGAATCATTAAAATATGGTCAAAAACATTAAAAACACAAATGAAGTTAATGCGCATCACTGTTTCATTGCAGTTGCACTGAATAACAAAGGATGGCAGGAGATTGTAAAAATAAAAAGAGCCATTTTATGTCCACCATGCCAGCTGAAGCAATTTCCTGGTTGATGATGCGTTTCCTGTTACTATTGCTCATGCGCACTGCCTCCTAATAAGATAAGAAAAAACTAATGGATCTTATGCAATTCAATTAAATCAGTTTGGGATTTATCCAAAGTGGCTTGCTTCTAATGAATATGAATAAGTAAAATATATTTTTATGTTTTTTTAAATAAGTTCCATGTAAAATATTCCTTTGTTGTGTTTATGATGGCCATAAATCATTTTTCGGAGTGTAGCAGCACTGAAGTGCCTGTCTGAACCCAGCATGGAATCTATGTATGCAAATCTATGATTTAGCAATTATGATAGAGCATTCAGGCTGAACACACCCTGCTGCGTCTGTTTTGGACGTTCGTGTCACGTAGTACTGAGCTAAGTTTAGGGCAGCCAATTAGCCCAAACATATTAGCATCACGATTAGCATCTAGCTGTTGATATAAGCATTAGCATTGTTGTCTTGATGGTCAATAAGTTTGTGTTTATTGATAATGTAACTCACAGTTTAGTTTCAGGAGATGTGCTAAAATATGTACTCTTTTTGTATGAATGATATGAATGTCTGTACAGATGCAAGTCTGTGTAGATAAACTATAAAATATACTATGAAAGCTATCATATACAGCAGATTACATAATTATGTGAACATTTGTAAAAAAACTAACTTTTGTGTAGTTGTGCAATAAGCATTATGTTACAGAGGACACACACATCATCTAAACCGCTTATCCTTCTGGGTCGCGGTGGGGTGCTGGAGCCTATCCTAGCTGTCATTGGGCGGAAGGCAGGATACACCCTGGACAGGTCGCCAGTCTATCGCAGGGCCATAGAAGAACCAGTTTTGCTTAGAAAAAACTTCCAATGGATGGTTAATTAAAGAACCATTTTTTGTATGTGAGATGTGTAAATATGAAGAACGTTTTATAGTTCCAAGAACCTTCATGTGAAAAAAAATTCTTTAAAACTTTGAAAGGTTCCTTACAATCAGAAATCTCTTTTTCAATTATGATTCTTTAGGGGACCAAAATATATACAGTGGTGGACGAAGTACACTAATCATGTACTTGAGTTAAAGTAGAGATACCCAAGGTACAATATTACTCCAGTAAAAGTAGAAGTTCCTCCCTTTAGACCTCCACTTGAGTAAAAGTACCAAAGTATTTGCCTTCAAATGTACTTAAGTATCAAAAGTAAAAGTACTAAAATATTAATAATGGCTCTAATGTCCTGTTATCATTTTTGTAACAAGACTTTTGCTTCATTAACTTATTTTAGGTGAAAATACTCCAGTATACTCCATTAAACTGAATTCCTTAAACCTGCAAAATTTTATGAGCTCAGTTGCATCATAAGTGATGTAAAGAACTAGAGACCTGCTGTAACACTGTCACAAACACACAAACACACTCACACACACTCACACACACTCATGTGGTCTTAAAATACAAACTTTGTTCCACAGAACACGAGGTGCTCTTTCCAGTACCTTTGCCTTCAGCCTTGACCTTGAGGTCATGGAAGGAGCTCTGTCGGTTCAGATAGCCAAGCATGACTCCCATTTCAGATTATTGGTCGCAAAGCTTAGGCTAACCAGCTCCTCTCCTCTAGTAAGTACTGTTTAACAGTTAACTATTGTTTGATAGATGTCTTGACATTTATTGATGGATACTTTAAAAATTGTACACTGCGTTCACTTATTTGGTGACCAGGTAAGCAAACTAAATTTTTGATTATTTTTCATTTTGATGAGACAAGATGGTATCAAAGGGTCACAAATGCTTTTAGATCATTTACACAACGCTGATCTGCTTTTACCCCCCTTTACTACCATATGCTGCAGCAATACTGGAGATGGTTTGAATGTACAAAACAAGAGGAAACCCTATAATCAGTGAGAATGTGTTCATATGGTGTTGAGAGTTTTAGCACAGTGAACTGGTTTCCCAATGGACAAAAATGTAAGCAACAACAGATGTTAATGTATGGTGTCATCTACTGGTGGATGGCTATAATAACTGATTGTGCTGTATGATGAATCAGAATCAGGCTTATTCTGTTGAGTGTGTTACACATACAAAGAATTTGTCCAAGTGCACCCATGTATGATGTAACATACTACACTACACATTAGGTTTCTTAGATGCATCGCGATGTGGGCGTGAACGATTCTGAATTGATTCACAAACGTCAAAAATCGATTTTATAAATATTTAATTTATAGCGTAATGTTGACGGAACGCAAAAGCCGGAACTTGGAAGTGGGGAAGTGCAGCGCCTGGACAGTCTCTGGCGGCACATAACAAAAACACCACCGGATGAGTGAGAAATCCGACCGGCTCCCTCTGTATTAAAGCCAGGTTAGGTCAGGAGTCTCAACCCAAATGATAAGAAGAGCCATTTTGTCCTTTCAGCAAAAATCAAACCAGCCGCAACATTTAATGTCCCGTATGTGTCAGTGTGTGTGAATGTCCTAGTATAAGTTAGGTTAAACAATATAAACGAAAACACAGATTTACTTCGCTCTGCTTTAAGCTTCAGCTATAGCTGCTTTCCTTCCATCTCCGCCAGAAAACTTTTCCTCAAAAGTTAAATAGTTTCTTGTAAAATGTCTCTCAAAGACTGCCAGAATGTAAAGGCGGCACTATTTAAGGTGGAACGGGAAAATTAGAAAGAGAAGCAACTTCATCTTCGCAACTTTTTAGTGTTTGACAGTCTCTGGTTGCAGATTTAACGTACCAGGAAACCAACTGCGCTGCTTATGAATGCGAATAAGTCCATTCATCTCCAAATGTTCGTCTGTCTTTCTCTTTTCCTTTTTCGTTCGCTACTCACTCGGCGAGACTCCGTTGCTATGTTCTCAGTTGTTGCGAAACAGGGTTTTCGCCACGTCCCGTCTCGAAGATATTTTACTGACACCCCGCCCCCCCAACTGAAGTTAGCAGCATCTCATGTGCTCCAAACAAGAGCATTGAATGAGAGCCTTCTAGTTCACTTGCCACATCACTTCCATTTGATTTATTAATAAAAGATATTGGAAGTAAATTCATTATGGATCATTACAAATACTTTGACAGTAATAAAATAGAAATGCTGTATAGAAAAAAAAGATGCATCGATAATCGTTTTATAATCGCATCGCAGCCTCTGAATCATAATCGAATTGAATCGTGAGGTGCCTAGAGATTCCCACCCCTACTACACACTGTGCCATAATCCACTGAAATGATATTTTCTAAGTTGTATTGACTCCACGCACCCCTTGAAGTAACATTTACATTATTTGCACCTTGGTGAACAAAAATATACCTGCACAGAACCTTTATTTCTAACAGTGTCCTGCAAATACACTATGTGGACAAAAGTATGGAGATACACCCCTTAATCACTGAATTCAGGTGTTTCATTCAGTCCTATTGCCACATGTGTGTATAAAATCAAGCACCTAGCCATGCAGACTGACTTTACAGACATTTGTGAAAGAACGAGTCATTCTAAAGAGCTCACTGAATTTGAGCGTGGTACTGTAATAGGACTAGATATTCCACGATCGACTGTGAGTGGTATTATTGAAAAGTGGAAGCATTTAGGAACCACAGCAACTCAGCCACAAAGGGTCAAACCAGGGAAAGTTACAGAGCAGGTCGCCGAGTGCTGAGGAGCAAAGTGCATAAAAGTCTCCAACGCTCTGCTGATCAATAACTGCAGAGTTCAAACCACCTCTGGCATCAACATCAGCACTAAAACTGTGTGCCAGGAGTTTCATGGTATGGGTTTCTATGGCCAGGCAGCTGCATGCAAGCCTTATATCACCAAGCACAATGCCAAGCGTCAGATGGAGTGGAGTAAAGCGCCGCCACTGGACTCTGGAGCAGTGGAGACTGGAGCATTCTGTGGAGTGACGAATTACACTTCTTTATCTGACAGCCTGATGGACGAGTCTGGGTTTGGAGAATGCCAGGAGAACATTACCTGCCTGACTGCATTGTACCAAGTGTAACGTAGGGAAGAGGAGGGATGATGATATGGGGTTGTTTTTCAGGGGTTGGTCTAGTAGACCTAGAAATCTTAATGCTTCTGCATATCAAACATTTTGGACAATTATATGCTTCCAACTTTGTGGAACAGTTTGAGGAAGACCCTTTTCTGTTCCAGCATGACTGAGCCCCAGTGCACAAAGCAAGAGCCATAAAAGCCTGGCTGGGTGAGTTTGGTGTGGTAGAACTTGACTGGCCCTCACAGGGTCCTGACCTCAACCCCATCCAACACCTTTGGAATGAACTAGAATGGAGGTTGCCAGCCAGGCCCTCTCGTCCAACATCAGTGTCTGACCTACAAATGCTCTTCTGGATGAATGGGCAAAAATTCCCACAGACATACTCGAAAATCTTGTAGAAAGCTTCCCAGAAGAGTGGAAGCTGTTAAAGCTGCAAAGGGGGACCAACTCCATATTAATGCGTATGGATTTAGAATGGGATGTCATGAAAGCTCCTGTAGGTGTGATGTGTAGGTGTCCCAATACTTTCGTCCATATAGTGTATCTCTGTTTCTTTCTTTTTCTCTCTACTCTCAGATAAAAAGGACTGAACTGTCACTCAGGTGGAACCATCCCAGGTACATCTTCAGTACCTTTAGTTAGGAGTCCAGTGGTCTGTAACAACATACACTGACTGCTCAGAGAAAAAAGCAATTAAAAATACACGTTCTTTGGGTTACACTCATTTAGTTTATTGTATAAAGAATCCAGACAAATTTCCCAGGTGATATTGATTCCTGCACTGAACAGAAGACCTATAACATGATATTATATAATTTGATATAAACAAGAATTGTTTGTTGTACATTAAGATCTGCTGAATGAATGTGAATTAGAGCAGCTGTGGTACAGAGTGAGGTAGTGATGTCATGGGTTTTAGCTCTGAGCTGAGGAGTCAGAGAAGTCAAAGCACAAACCACATCTGAACACCTGTTACTTCACACAAACATGATTAAAGCTGCAGAACTGAGTGAAACACACTTTTCTAAACACTGTAAACTTCCTCATATTTATCTGTCTGACTCTCAGGAGCTTCACTGCACTGATAAGAAGTGTTACTGTGCATTAGTGTCTTTGATTTACTGTCCCAAACCACAGAACCATTAAAAGAACCACAGAACAAATAAAAGAACCACAGAACCACTAAAGGAACCACAAACGAACCTCAAACCCACTAAAGGAACCACAGAATGAATAAAAGAACCACAAAGGAACCACAGAACCAGGCTGAAACTCTGGAGTTTCAAAAAGCTGGAGATCTCATATGGGTTTTAACATCCAGGATAACTTTTATGTGTACAGTTTTTTTTTAACCACAGTCCAGAGGCCTCTCAATTGTGTTCAACAGCTGGATGAAGCACCATCATCTCCCAGTCTCAGACAGCTCTAACTAGAACTGCACAGCTGAAGACTGGAAATATGCAGGAGACTCCAGAGAAAGTTCTAGTCTGACAGAATCAGCAGAACTTCTCAGGATGACTGTGCTTAACTCAGTGTCTTGTGATTGATCTGCAAGTAATGAATCATTTCAAATTCTTCTTAATAAGTAATTTCTGATTATTAAATGGAAATTTGACACTTTCATGCTTTGAATGATTAAAGTAAAAATAAACAAAATGAACAAACTGTTTACACCAAGAAAAATGTCTTGTTTTGCTTGAAAATCAAGCAAGTTTAAAAAAATCAGTTACAGTGTAGTAATTAAATGTTGCAACATGCTTTATTTCATCAACTGTTATTAGATCTTATTGCCATGTAGAGTACTTTTCTGAAATATATGCCTTCGTTTATTTATTTATTGCAACATGTATTACAGAATTTTCTTTACATTTAACTTTTATCTTTTCTGCTTTGAAACATGACGCCTGTTTAACAGGTGTGATGATCAGTGGTGCTGAGTTTTTACCTCCAAAATTGAGGGAGGGACTGAAGTATGGATAGAGTTTCTCAGTAAAAGACTGACCAGTGAAAGAGTAGATATGCGACCTGACCTCAACATCATAGAAGGAGACCAGACCCTCCTCATAATCCACAAACACCCCCACCTTCTGGGGAGCCTGTTTCAGGGAGAGAGGGACACGAGGAGAATCTGCTGCTGTATATTCAGTCTCATTTCTCAGAGCCACCACCCAGTATGCATTCTCAGGACTGGCTGTAATAACCCCCTTCCTGTTACTGGACTCTGTGGTCACTCCTAAATCCCACTCAGTCTTCTGTCTGACCTGAACCTCATAGTAAAATCTTCCTGAGGAGAACCCCTCCTTTCCCAGCACACTGACCAATGGATCAAACCTCTCTGGGTTTTCAGGGAGATTCTGTCGTTTGTTTCCAAGTCTCACTTGTTTTCTATCATCAGACAGAATGAGTTTAGGATGAGATGAATCAGGATCCAGAGTCACATCCACTGAGAGAGAAACACAGTTTAAACCATTTTAACACTAAACAACATATAATCGAGCAGACAGATATATTTTTACTCAATAATATTATGTAATCAGTGAGAATCTACACACCTGCATATTGTTGAATTCTCTTCATTTCTGTGTTAGAAGAATAAAGAATGATATAATTTGTTATTAGAATTTAAATTGTGCTTCATTCAATGCCTGATTAGTATCAACCACAAACCAGCACTGTAACATGAACACCAAGTGACAGTGCAGTAATATCATGAATGAGAATTTTAAAAGATTAAAAATCTGTAATTAAATATTTAAATGCTTCATGTACCAAATATTCATTTCTGGTGTCTGTATCTTAATGAATTATTCTTCATACAAACTCAAATCTGTTGATGATCAAAATGTTTTAGTGATCAGTAAACCCTTACCCATCTCATCAAGCTTCTCCATCTCCTTACTGAGCTCTTCCTGAAGCTGAGACAGAGCTCTCCTCAGAGTCTCCACCCTCAGATGAGTGTTAATCCTGACGTCAGTCCAGTTCTTGGTGTGTGGAGGGCTGCAGAGGGACGGGTAAACCTACAGTCCAGCAGGAGAGAGGAGAAACCCCTCAGCATGGGGAGTGCTGTCCTGTGATGGACTGCATTACTATTGAGAAACAGAGGGACTCTGACCTGTAGGAGGTGGAGGTGGTCCTCAGTGTGGGAGAGCTGCTCCAGCTCAGTGTCTCTCCTCTTTAGCTCAGTGATTTCCTGCTCCAGCTCTTTAATGAACTCTTCAGCCTGCCTCTCTGCTGCTTTCTGCTTCTCCTCCATCACCTCAAGCAGCTCCGCCTGGCTTCTCTCAATGCAGCGCAGCAGAGCTCTGAAGACCTCCACACTGTCTGCTTTCTCCTTCTCTGTGCTTTTCTAACAAGACACATAAAAACATTATAACTGCCTTAATATGCAACCCCATTTCCAAAAAAGTTGGGACGCTGTGTAAAATGTAAATAAATGTAAATAAAAACAGAATTCAATGATTTCCAAATCTCATAGACCCATATTTTATTCACAACAGAACATAGAACACATATCAGATACTGAAAGTGAGACATTTTACCATTTCATGAAAAATATTAACTCATTTAGAACTTGATGGCAGCAATGCATCTCAAAAAAGTTGGGACAGGGCCGTGTCTACCATTGTGTAGCATCCCCTCTTCTTTTAACAACAGCCTGTAAACATCTGGGAAGTGAGGAGACCAATTGCTGGAGTTTTAGGAGAGGAATGTTGTCCCATTCTTGTTTGATGTAGGATTCTAGCTGCTCAACAGTCCTGGGTCTACTGCTGGATTTTTCATTTCATGATGCACCAAATGTTTCCTATTGGTGAAAGGTCTGGACTGCAGGCAGGCCAGTTCAGCACCTGGACTCTTCTTCTGCGAAGCCATGCTGTTGTGGTGGATTCTAGTGTAGTTCAGCATTGTCTTGCTGAAATATGCAAGGCCTTCTTTGAAAAAGACACTGTCTGGATGGCAGCACATGTTGCTTAAACCTGTATACTTCGTTCAGCATTAATTTTGCCTTCACAGATGTGCAGGTTACACATGCCATGTGCACTAATGCTCCACCATACCATCATGGATGCTGGCTTTTGAACTGTGTGCTAATAACAAGCTGGGAGGTCTTTAATCTGGAGGATGCAGTGTCCATTATTTCCAAAAAGAATTTCAAATTTTGATTCATTGGACCAGTCCATCTTACTTCGCCTTCGCCTCAGTCCATCTTAAATGAGCTTGGGCCCAGAGAAGTTGGCGGCATTTCTGGATACTGTTTATATATGGTCTCTTCTTTGAATGATACAGCTTTCACTTGCGTTTGTGGATTGCAGGGTGAACTGTGTTCACAGACAATGATGTCTGGAAATGTTCCTGAGCTCATGCAGTGATTTCCAGTACAGAATCATGCCTGTTTTCAAAGCAGTGCTGCCTGATGGTCCGAAGATCACGAGCATCCAATTTTGATTGTCTGCCTTGTCCCTTGCCTACGGGGATTTCTTCAGATTCTCTGAATCTTTTGATGATATTATATACTGTAGATGGTGGGATGTCCAAAGTCTTCCCAAGGTCTTCGCAGATTGGTGAACCTCTGCCCATCTTTGCTTCTGAGAGATTCTGCCCCTCTAAAATGCTCTTGTTGTACCCCGTCATGTGAGTTAGTTGCAAATTGCTCCTCCAGCTGTTTTTTTATTAGTACCACTAACTTTTCCAGCCTTTTGTTGCCCCTGTCCCAACTTTTTAAGATGTGTTGCTGCCATCAAGTTCTAAATGAGTTAATGTTTTTCATGAAATGGTAAAATGTCTCACTTTCAACATCTGATATGTGTTCTATGTTCTACTGTGAATAAAATATGGGTCTATAAAATTAGCAAATTATTGTATTCTGTTTTTCTTTACATTTATTTACATTTTACACAGCGTTCCAACTTTTTTGGAATGAGGGTTGTATTAAAAGTACTCAAACTGCTTAAGTACTCAATTCTGTATCAGTTAAACTAAAATAAGATAAAACAAAAGCACAAATCAATGTTTTAGCATCATGCAGTGTGAGAAAAGCCTGTTGGAGATGTTTCTTAAGTTGTACTAATGCTGTTAATATAGGATCTACAAGTAAGGTCAGAGTGAAGAACAGAACCAAGGTGTCGCACAGCAAACTATAAATTACCAGACATCATTAGCTTATTAGTTTGCTGTGGAATTTGCTGCCCTGGAATTTATTAAACTGTCCTTGAGCTTCCTATGTTCACTCATAATACAGAAGAGCAGCAGAAGGCACAAAGAAAATAAAAGTGGCCCCAGTATAAACACTTGAGGTACTCCAAAGTCACTGTCATGCGTCCCTGATTCAAATTCAGCAAGAGTAGTAAAATACTGTGTAATATTTGTAAAACCAATTCAGAAAGTTTCCAGACAGCCCAGTCTAGTTTTTAAGTGTCTAACAGAATGATCTTCAGTTATGTGCAGTGCCGAACATGTTTAATGCACCCTAATGTCCAAGTGGACAAGAACTGATATTTTGTTCTCATTACTATTCTGACATTTTTAATAAATTTCACAGTTCAAATTGATTGTAAAGATTGTGCAGTTTGATGAATGTATTTTCATTGCACTAATTATGAGCATTCAGTAATGCCTGCAGAGTAAATAAGCATTAAGATTAAGTTAAGACTCACTTTACTGAGTTCAACAGACTGTTTGATTTCCTCAATTTTCTTCAGTCGGTCCTGGATCATCTGCTGAACTTCTGCCTGTGTTGTTCCCATTTGAATCTATGATGAATATACAAATTATAACAATAGGACTTATCACATAAGGATTTTTTAAAATGGAAAAACAGGAGAAAGAGTGAATAATTCTGTCTAAATTTTCCTCACCTTCCTCTCTCCACTCTCCTCCTCTATAGGAACAGTGCTGTGAGTCTTGTGGTCTCCTTCAGTGCAGAACCGACACACACTCGTCTGGTCGTCTCTACAGAACAGCTCCAGGGGTCTCTCATGTTTCTGGCAGATGTAGTCCTCCAGGTTCTCCACAGCGTCCATCAGTTTGTGCTTCTTGAGTTTAGCTGCAGTTTTATGAGGCGTCAGATGAGTCTCACAGTAAGATACTCCACAGTCCAGACAGGACTTTACAGCCTCCAGCTTTTCCTCACTGCAAGAGTCACACAGAACCATTTTAGGTTTGGAGGGTCGTTTCTCTGGAGCTCTGCTGGATTTGACCTGAACTGACTTCTTGAACTGAGCAGCCAGTCCAGAGATGAACGTGTTCACACGTAGCTCAGGCCTTCTGGAGAATTCCTCTTTACAAACTGGACACTGGCAGCGTGAACTGCTGTCCCAGCACTCTTTGAGACAGACCATGCAGAAGTTGTGTCCACATGGAGTAGAGACTGGATCAGTGAACACATCCAGACAGATAGAGCACTGGAGCTGATCTTCAGACAGGAGACTGCTGGAGGAAGACATGACTGACAGAGGAGACACAGAGACACCATGAGGGAGATTTGAGACCAAAGAAAACTTCCTACATTTTTCATGACAATTCATAGTCAAAAAAAAAAATGATGTGAAGAAAAAAGCCATGTTCTCATTCAGTATGTACTCATCTTAAATCAATCACATTCATCTGACTGATCAGATTCACATTCTACCTTAAACACAAACTCTGTAGAAACAAATGATCACAGCTTCAAATGTTAAACACAAGTAACAGATCAGTTTAAAAATGTAAGAAAGTTAAATGACAAAACACGAACAACAGTGATGGTAGAAATGATCTGAACATCTGGATGTGTTTTCAGTAACAGACAGTAAGAAACTTAGACTCATTACCACTTTCACTTTCTCTCCTTTGGTCTGCTTTTCTGCTTCTTCAGAGTTGATCTGTAGAGTTTAACTGAGCTTCCTGATTGGAGAACCTTCAAACTGGAAACTGTGTCCTGCTGGAAGAACTGAATTCTGATTATGAAACAGCTCTGCATGAGATTCGTTTCTGATGAGAGGCATGACGAAGCCACTCCCACAAATGCATGGTCATTGTTTTATGTACTTTTACGTTTGACCCCTAGGTGGCAGATATTCACCAACTGAATTACAGGATCCCAAAATGCACCTGTTGCTCACTGTATTAAACAAATATAAAAAGCTATTCATCCTTGTAAAAATGCAAATATATAAAATAACTATATACTAATTACTTTGAAGTATTTTACAATATCTTTGACACTTTTATCTGTGAAGGTCAGTGTGGCTGCAGAGTTTTATCCCAATCAAGCAGAATCACCTGATTTAACTTGTTTAATCAGTTGTTCTCATTTTCAAGCGACTGATTAGTTGAGTTGTGCTGCTGGTAGGTTTGAATGAAAACCTGCATCCACACTGGCCTTTTACAGGTAGGATTAGTGACCCCTATTAAAGGCTAGTGAAGTTATGCTGGTTGTCTCAGTATTTTTTGGAGCTAAAAAAATAAGTAAAAGCTTATATTTTTAGCAAATAACTGTTTTCTAAAAAACTTTAAAAACATCATTAGTGAACATAGAATAAATTCATAATTAGTCCTAATAATGTCCAAGTATAGTTAGTTTTACAGTTTTACAGTTTTACTTTTAATTGCTTATTTCAGTTAATTGCTTATTTCAGTTTCAACTGTGCTGGTCTGGTTGCATCAATTGACTTACTGGTTGTGCCACCTGACTTTTCAGACTAATTTAAAATTAAACAGGCATCTACTTAAACAAATGTACAGACTTTTGTCCTTGAATTTGAGTCTATTCTTAGATTTTTTCATATAATATAAACATTATTATAAAAATTACACATTTTCATGGTTTTGCTGTGGTCACACCACCTGACGTGGTAAACTGCACCATTCTGACCACAACTCAAAAATCACATTTGTTTTTTTTTTACAGAATTTCTGAAAGGCCTATTGAACTAGAGGGTATTGCACCTCTAAGGTCACTTGGGGTCTTCTTTACGATGAATTATGCTGGCCCCGCTTTCGTAAAAGCATGCCAAAATAAATGTCATTTGTTTTTGGTTGTGCTGCCTGACATTTGAGGAAGCAAAAACTTGTGAACAAACGTTTTTAGTGAGCTGTGTACTTTTAAAGTTGCCTTATTTGCACCATGTTTTTTTATTAAGTTTTCAAACATAAAATCATGCCAAACTATTTTATTTAGAATTTTACATAACTAAATCACCTTTTTTGATAGTTTACTTAATCCACATATCTGTCAGGCCCCATCTAACATTTTTAGACTTTTGGAGGCAAAAAGAAACTAAAATGAATTTTATATGGATGCATTGAAAATTGTTTCATATAAAAGCGGTACTGTTGCATAATTTAATGTCATTTACTTATTTCTTTTATTTTTTTATGAAAATAAAGGGCACAAAAATGAATGTCATGTCATTTATCCACACATATATAGTGAAAAATTATTAAATGAAAAACTCTCCTCATTTCTCATTCTCTCTCTCTCTAGTGGGTCATTTGTGTCTTTCTTTTGTAGATATTTTTGTAGAACTTCCTAATATGCTAACTTTTGTCATATAAATATGATTTTTATAATAATTGAACAATGAATTCATTACATAATGTTATGCCTGATCGGTGTGTGTGTGTGTGTGTGTATATATACAGTACAATTCTAATATTTACATACCTTGTATGTTATTAATAAATGTCTGTTAAATATATACTTAGACAACATGAATCTACTGAACAATGAACAATACATGTACAGGAACAATGTTGCTGTTTTGTTTATTGTCTTTCATTAAGGATGAAAATCAGTTTCATTTTGCTTATTACATTTTTGAAGAAAATGAAATTAATTTGATCAGTTTTACAAAATAATAACATTTAAATTATTTTTATTTAATTGACATTTGCAGTATTTTTCATAAGTGTCCCACAAACAAAAATGATAACCTCATAAATATAAACATCCAATGTAGGCAAAAAAGAGCTTCATGAAACAGCGGCCAAAGTGTCGTGTGAGTTTTACTGGTATATAAAAAAGGCTGTGGTTCCTATGATTCACCAATCAAACTGATACTGACAAATTCATTATTGTTTCAGGTCATTAAAAGGAGACCTGTGATCAACAGTATTAGAACACTGTACAACTGACTTACAGTGGACACGTCCAAGTCTACTGATCTGCTTATTTATCAATTAATTAGTTACCTTTTCATTTATCCATTCATTAATTAATCATGTAGTGTATTGTGGGATTGTTTCATTGCTCGGCAATGCCAGAACACTACAGTGAGTTTTTCTGACATAATAAAATGGGTTTATGGTCTTTATTTCTAATGTTTAACAGGTGTGATGATCAGTGGTGCTGAGTTTTTACCTCCATTATTATGGTGAGGGCTGAATAACGGACAGAGTTTCTCAGTGAAAGACTGACCAGTGAAAGAGTAGATATGAGAACTGGCCTCAACATCATAGAAGGAGACCAGACCCTCCTCATAATCCACAAACACCCCCACCTTCTGGGGAGCCTGTTTCAAGGAGAGGTGGACACGAGGAGAGTCCAGAGCTTTATATTCAGTCTCATTCCTCAGAAACACAATCCAGTATCCATTCTCAGGTTTGGCTGTAATGACCCCCTTCCTGTTACTGGACTCTGTGGTCACTCCTAAATCCCAGTCAGTCTTCCCTCTGACCTGAACCTCATAGTAAAATCTCCCTGAGGAGAACCCCTCCTTTCCCAGCACAGAGCACAATGGATCAAACCTCTTTGCTTTGTCAGGGAGATTCTGTCGTTTGTCTCCAAGTCTCACTTGTTTTCCATCATCAGACAGAATGAGTTCAGGATGAGCTGAATCAGGATCCAGAGTCACATCCACTGAGAGAGAAACACACAGTTAAACACATTTTATCACTATACAACACATAATCGAGGAGACAGATATATTTTTACTCAAAAATATTATGTAATCAGCGAGAATCCACACACCTGCATATTGTTGAATTCTTTCCATTTCTGTTTAGAAGAATAAAGGATGATATAAATTGTTATTAGAATTAGTTGTGCTTCATTAAATGCCTGATTAGTATCAAACACAAACCAGAATGTTAATATTAACACTAAATGACAATGCAGTGATATCATGAATGGGAGTTTTAAATATTTAAATACTTTGTGTACCAAACATTCATTTCTGGTATCAGGATCTTAATGACTTCCTGAATTCTTCTTCATACAAACTCAAATCTAATAAACATCTAAATTTCTTACTGATGAGTAAATACTTGCCAATCTTCTCCATCTCCTTACTGAGCTCTTCCTGAAGCTGAGACAGAGCTCTCCTCAGAGTCTCCACCCTCAGATGAGTGTTAATCCTGACGTCAGTCCAGTTCTTGGTGTGTGGGGGGCTGCAGAGGGACGGGTAAACCTACAGTCCAGCAGGAGAGAGGAGAAACCCCTCAGCATGGGGAGTGCTGTCCTGTGATGGACTGCATTACTATTGAGAAACAGAGGGACTCTGACCTGTAGGAGGTGGAGGTGGTCCTCAGTGTGGGAGAGCTGCTCCAGCTCAGTGTCTCTCCTCTTTAGCTCAGTGATTTCCTGCTCCAGCTCTTTAATGAACTCTTCAGCCTGCCTCTCTGCTGCTTTCTGCTTCTCCTCCATCACCTCAAGCAGCTCCGCCTGGCTTCTCTCAATGCAGCGCAGCAGAGCTCTGAAGACCTCCACACTGTCTGCTTTCTCCTTCTCTGTGCTTTTCTAACAGGAGAAAGCAATAATACTGATAAAACATTATGATTATAATTGCCCTAACACAACCCCATTTCCAAAAAAGTTGGGATGCTGTGCAAATATAAATAAAAACAAAATGATGTGCAAATCATTTAAACCCTGTGTCATTGAAAATAGTAAAAGACAACATATCAAATGCTGAAACTCAGAAATTTTATTGGTTTTTGAAAAACATATGCCATTTTTGAATTTGATGCCAACAACACGTTCCAAAAAAGTTGGGACAGGGACAATAAAAGGCTGGTAAAGTTGTGTAATGCTAAAAAAACACCTGATGGTTAACTGGCAACAGGTAAGTAACATCACAGGGCATCCCAGAAAGGCTGAGTCTTCAGAAGTGAACATGAGGAGGGGTTCACCACTCTGTGAAAGCCTGCGCAGGCAAATTGTGGAACAATTCAAGCATATCGTTTCTCAACATAAAATAGCAAAGAACTTTTGTTTTTCATCATCTACATTACATAATATCATTAAAAGTTTCAGAGCATCTGGAGAAATCTCTGTATGTAAGTGACAAGGCCAAAAACCAGTATTGGCTGGCCATGATCTTTGGGCCCTCAGGCAGCACTGCATTAAAAACGACATGATTCTGTAGTGGAAATCATTGCATGGGCTCAGAAACAATTCTGAAAACCACTGTCTCTGAAAACAGTTCGTTGCTGCATCCAGAAATGCAAGTTAAAACTCTAAAATGCAAAGAAGAAACCAAATATAAACAGCATCCATAAACGCTGCCACCTTCTCTGGGCCTGAGCTCATTTACAATGGACTGAGGCGAAGTGGAAAAGTGTCCTGTGGTCCGACGAATCAAAATTTGAAATTCTTTTTGGAAATCATGGACACTGTGTCCTCCAGGCTAAAGACCACTCAGCTTGTTATCAGTGCACAGTTTAAAAGCCAGTATTTATGATGGTATAGGGGTGCGTTAGTGCACATGGCATGGGTGACTCGCACATCTGTGAAGGCACCATTAATGCTGAACAACAGACACATGTTTTGGCAACATATGCTGCCATCCAGACAACATTTTTCAGGGAAGGCCTTGATTATTTCAGGAAGACAATGTCAAACCTCATTCTGCATGTATTACAACAGCATTGCTCCATATTAAAAGACTCCAGGTGCTAAACTGGCCTGCCTGCAGTCCAGACCTGTCATCCACTGAGAACATTTTGCACATTAAAAAATGAAAAATACCACAAAGGAGACCCCGAACTGATGAGCAGCTGAAATCCTATATCAACGAAGAACGGGAAAACATTTCACTTACAGCAATTGGTCCTCCTCAGTTCCCAAACGCTTACAGAGTGTTGTTAAAAGAAGAGGTGATGAAACACAGTGGTAAACATGTCCCTGTCCCAACTTTTTTGGAACGTGTTGTTGGCATCAAATTCAAAATGGGCATATATTTTGCAAAAAACAATACAATTTCTCAGTTTCAACGTTTGATATGTTGTATTTGTAATATTTTCCTTTAATAATATGGTTTACTTGATTTGCACATCATTGAATTCTATTTTTATTAACATTCTGCACAGCATTCCAACTTCTTTGGAAATGGGGTTATACGTTAAAAGTACTCAAAGTGCTCAAGTTTTTTGAGTCAATATCAGTTTAAATAAATAAGTTAAAAGCACAAGTCAATGCATTGCATTGATGCTAAAGCTTTACTAATTCTGTCAATATGGGATCTGCAACTAAGGTCAGAGTGAAGAACAGAACCAAGATCTCACACAGCAAACTATAAATTGCAGACATCATTAGCTCTTTAGTTTGCTGTGGAATTTGCTGCCCTGGAATTTATTAAACCATCCTTGAGTGTCCTATTTTTACTCATGATACAAAAGAGTAACAGGAGGCACTAAGAAAATAAAAGTGGCCCCAGTATAGACACTGGAGGTACTCCATAGTAACTGCCATGATTTCCTGATACAAATTAAGCCAGAGTAACAAAATACTGTGTAATATTTGTAAAACTACTTTATTTACAGACAATCCAGTCCAGTTTTCAAGTGTTTCTGGAATGATCTTCAGTTTTCTAGAGTGCCAAACATGTTTAATGCACCCTGAGAGCAGGTATATTGTTCTCATTACTATTCTGAAATGTTTCATAGATTTCACAGTTCAAATTGATTGTAAAGATTGTGTGCAATTTGATGAATTGATTTTCATTGTGTTTATTATGAGCATTCAGTAAAGCCTGCATAGTAAATGAGAATTAAGATTCAGTTAAGACTCACTTTATTGAGCTCTACAGAGTGTTTGATTTCCTCAATCTTCTTCAGTCGGTCCTGGATCATCGGCTGAACTTCTGTCTGTGTCGTTCTCATTTGAATCTATGAATTTTGAAATCATAATAATACCACTGATTTGTATTAGTTTTAATGCAGAAGCAAGAGACAGAGTTAATAATTTTGTCTAAATATCTCTCACCTTCTTCACTTGTATCTCCTCCTCTATAGGAACAGTGCTGTGAGTCTTGTGGTCTCCTTCAGTGCAGAACTGACACACACACGTCTGGTCGTCTCTACAGAACAGCTCCAGGGGTCTCTCATGTTTCTGGCAGATGTAGTCCTCCAGGTTCTCCACAGGGTCCATCAGTTTGTGTTTCTTGAGTTTAGCTACAGTTTTATGAGGCGTCAGATGAGTCTCACAGTAAGATACTCCACAGTCCAGACAGGATTTCTGAGCCTCCAGCTTTTCATCTGTGCAGTAGTTACACAGCACATTTTTAGCTTTGGAGGGACGTTTCTCTGGAGCTCTGCTGGATTTGACCTGAACTGACTTCTTGAACTGAGCAGCCAGTCCGGAGATGAACGTGTTCACACGTAGCTCAGGTCTTTTGGAGAATTCCTCTTTACAAACTGGACACTGGCAGTGTGAACTGCTGTCCCAGCACTCTTTGAGACAGACCATGCAGAAGTTGTGTCCACATGGAGTCGAGACTGGATCAGTGAACACATCCAGACAGACAGAGCACTGGAGCTGATCTTCAGACAGGAGACTGCTGGAGGAAGACATGACTGACAGAAGAGATGACAATTCATAAAAATTTAGTCGATTAATAAACACTATTGCATATTTCTTTTAACTGAACGTCAACAGAAAAAGACGTGTTCTCATGAAATGTGTATCTGAAATCAATCCTGTTCATCTGACTGATGAGCTTCACATTCTACCTGTTAATCATGAATCTGTAGCTGAACAAATGATCACAGCTTCAGATGTAAAACACGGACCAAACTGACAAACTCTGAGCTCTTTAAAAGTTTAAATAACTGCTAAAACATAAACAGCAGTGACTGACAGAAATGATCTGAACAGCTGTAAGTATTTTTAGTAACAGACAGTAAGAAACTTAGACTCATTACCACTTTCACTTTCTCTCCTTTGGTCTGCTTTTCTGCTTCTTCAGAGTTGATCTGTAGAGTTTAACTGAGTTTCCTGACTGGAGAACCTTCAAACTGGAAACTGTGTCCTGCTGGAAGAACTGAATCAGTTCATGAAACTCCCTTTACTGTCGTTTCTTCTGAGTGACGTCATGCGGACACGCCTACTTTATCATGACGACAGTTTGTTGCACTTGCAGGTTTTGGCCAGCAGGTGGCAGATATTTACCATCTGACTTACACAAGAGAGGAAATAGTGCTGAAAATCCCTACTTAAGTAAAAATACTGTTACTGAAGTGATAATTTTTCTCATAATTTAGTTGAGTACAAATAAAAGTATTAATAAAGGGAATTAAAAAGTAAATAAGTAAGGAAAGTCAGAGTAAATAAGTAGTTTATTGGAAAACTACTTGAATAATAGAGTTACTTTTTTACATTTGAAATCACAACCTGGAATATTTCTGAGTCGACTCGACATCAGAGAAAATAATCTGTACAATCAAAACTAAAGCAAGACATGATATAAACATGAGAAAACAGTTCTGAGAGCTGAGACTGATCACAGTCTGCTCTGCTAGTGACATCTACACATCTCTCTGTGAACTGTATAAGGAACAAGGTTTACATTAAACTACACGCTTTTCATGGATTATATGAGGCTTCCTAGTTTATCTGTTTCCAGTAAAGTAGTTTAAGAGTCAAAATAACAGGTAGATCACTCAGTTTTTAGTGACAGCCCTGCTGCCCATCAGCTTCCTAAACACTAGCTTACATTAACAGCTGTGAACATCTGCACACAGTAACATTCACAGCCTTCAATCTGTATAAATTCACTGATACCTGTATGGAACATTTCTACCATTAAAATCATTAACAACAACAGAAGTTTCACCATGTGGAGATGAGCTGTTGTGCCTTCCAGCTCGAATCCAGCAGGTATCACTTCTGGCCAGGCCACTGTGACTGATGACCACATGTCCACCACAGCAGTGCTTGGAACTCCTTCAATGTCACTGGAAATGTGGCAGAAGTCTGATATGGACGTTCGCCCCACCACAGCCACTGTGTGTTCACTGCCTGTGCTGCTCTGTTTGACCAGGCCAGCATTCTTTCCCACTGACTTCACCCCCAACAAACAAGCCTCTTGTAGTCCCTTGTCACTCGCTGTTTGGCTGTGGTTGTGGCCAGAGCTCAGATCAGTTCTGTCATCACCTCAGCCTACGACTGCAGGACTGACGGCCACATGCTGCTTGTGGGTGCTGCCATCTTTGTTTGCATCTGCACCCAGTAACATCACACCATAGCAGGCAGGCTTTGGGTTGGCCGACGCCGCTAAGCTCAGCTTTTCTCCCCACCCAACTCTCTCATGGCTCTCCTGGGTGGAATGACTCGCCCCTGGAGCCAGTGGTGTTCCTGAAGACGCAAACTCACCGTCGTCTTCCTCAGTTGTCTTATCAACAGAGTGATCCAGCCCTTCTGTGACCAATGAAGCTTAGCTTAGCTGCTATCAGCTGAATAGTCTCTCCCTTTGAGGAGAACCTTTTACTTACTCACACCAAATGTAGTGTTTACTGCTATTAAAGAAAACACAGATTGAATATGTTACAGAATTTTTATAAATGTATTTTTAAGTAGGTGAAAATCCAGATACAGTATCTTCTACAATCGGACTGAACGATGATCTGAATATTACAGCGTAACACTGTTTAAACTCTGTTCCAGTGAAGCACTGGTTTCTCTGATGGCTCATTTTCATGAGGGGTGATATCTGTTTGGTCTGTGTACAGCGTGCATATGACAAACCAACTTAACCCCAGTGTGGTCAGATTACTGTTTAAGGCCATTTAATCTTTAAAAACTCAAAGTGAAAAACTAATCTGAGCGCGACAGAATTACTGTCTAGAGTTTATGGGGAAGCTGGATTAGAGTAGATTTCCCATATCACAGGTTTATAAGGCTGTTTCCTCCAAAACTGGGACAAAAGCGTATTTTATACAGGTAAACTAAACCAAAAGTGTCACCAGTGTTCACTAAAGTAGCTTTAGCTGACAGACACTCACAATAAAACATACACTATAGGTCTTAAGTTTAATAGTCTGCCATTTTATTCTAAAACAACAGAAGAAAGAAGAAAATATTAAACACATCAGCGTTACCAGTTTAGCTGGGATTAGCTAGCTAGTCAGCTGCTCCCTCAGGCTGAAGCTGAGCTGTGAAAGCGGAGATCTCTGCAGGTTTCAGGAGGCAGATTAGCTGCTGATAAGAACAGTTTTCTGTAGTGCATTTGAAAATGAATGAAGACGACAGTTTGGATAAAGTATGTTGATGTGTGCTGGTGAAGTTCTCCTCTTTCTGTCTCCTCTAAACTGGTCGTCTCTGTCTCTGAACAGGGCTGAGGTGTTTTAGTGGCTGGGAGCTGCTCTGTTTTGATTGGTTTTCAGATCATTATAAATGTAACCAGGCTTTCTTCTGATTGGTTTATGAGCTGATATGCTCCTCATTTATTTTCACTCTGTAACGTTATTAAAAATTAACGTAGTGAAGTAAAAATACTTTATTAAAAATGAACTCAAGTAAGGCTAAAAGTACTATGGTTTAATTTTACTCCAAAAAGTAGGGAAAATGTACTGAAGTACAGTAATGAAAGTAAATGGAATTCGTTTCTTTCCCCCTCTGGAGTTACATTATCTAAATATACAGATTTTGCTCAATATTTCAAACAAACACGTTAAATAGTCACTCATCAGGAAGTAACTTGGTACTGTTTAATTGGAATTCTTTTGTAGTAGCTCCCATTTAGAGACAAACAACCTTAAACAAAATCTATTAAAATATTACTGAGCTAAAAGCAGCAGCTCCTCTATTCAGCTGTTCACTTCTTTACAGACACACACAAGAAAAGTCTATCAGTGTTTAATCATTTAAACACAGAGCTGAGTTCAGTTAAACCTGCTGTACAAACTTTCATTCACACACACACACACACACACACAGATACAAAGAGGTTCTCAATCAGACCTGCATGTTCTACATAATTCTTGTGTTTTTAATGTACCAAAAACAGTCATAACCATTTTATATCCCCTTTTATCCCCTACAGTCAACCCCTTAAATGGTCAGGGTCCACTGGCAGGCCCAAAGTTTTACTACACACTTCTATAATCTAAGATCAGCTCATCTAGTTTGCACTGAAGTCCACTCAAATTTTTATTACACGCTTCCACAGCATAAGAATAATTCAGCCATAATAGTGGATAATATTTAGTAAGTCTGGGGTTTAAGGGGTTAAAATATCCAGTATAGTGTTTTAAGAACTGCTTGTGAAATGGACGCTATTAGAAACAGGAGACTAACCGTAAAATGGACACGAAGACACAAAAGGTCAGCTGTCATAATGTGCTATCATTTTATCCCAGAAACACCAAATATCAACATATAACCTGTTACTTGATGTAGGTTTTAGTTCAGCCAGTTTGCACTGAAGTCCCTGTAGTTACTGAACAGTAAGCCTTAGTATGTAATAAGCCTGGGATTTAAAGGGGTTAAACAAGCTGTTTTTACTGCACCTTTAACACTGATATGTAAATCAGCTCTGTTCTGATTGGCTGTATTGAGCCTCACTTAAACAGCAGTCAAGACTCAAACAGTCCTCATAAGGTAAGGGGGCGGGGCTAAACTGCTGCAGGCTGAATAGGCAGAAATATGTAAATGCACTGATTTTTTGTGACATCATAAAAAACAAAGAATTCAAAACAAGCTGTTTTACGGCGTAGTTTCCAGGGATAGACTGTACGGACTGGACAGTCAGTGTTTCCCACAAACAGGCTCTACTTGGGCAGCCAAAAGTATTTTGACAGCTACCCAAATATATTTTGTTGCATTTAAATAAATTCCAAAGAGAAAATATTTTATAGTTTAATGAATAAACACAGTGTCACTGATGTAAAGCATCACTCTTTCCCCTGTGGTCATTTCCATGACTTTAACCTTCACTTTAGTAAAGTCCAAGATACATTTCTTAAATATGACACAAACAAATTAACTTCAAGCCTTTAAATACAAAATAAAGAGCTTCAGGAATTTTTCCATCAACATGACAGTGAGTTCAGTGAAATTCAGTGACCTCCACAGTCACCACATCTGAATCTGATAGAGCACCTTTAGGACGCGGCAGAACCCGAGAATCTCTAAGGAACGTTTCCAGCACCTTGTTGAATCAATGCCACCAAAAAAATCACAGTTTTCTGAAAGTAAAAATGCGTCTAACCCCGTATTAGAATGATGTTCAGTGTACAGGTTCCTCTGCTTGTCTGTTCCAAACCACAGAACCACTAAAGGAACCTCAGAACCAGACTGATACTCAGGATTGAGGATCTCAGATGAGTTTATTTGTTTTTTCATAACCAGTAAACAGATCAAAACTAGACATTTAATCCAACACCATCATCTCCCAGCCTACACAGACAGCTTTAACTACAACTGCACACCTGGAGGACTGGAAACATGGAGGAAACTCCACAGAAAGTGTTTCTGTATTTTGTAGAACTTCCTAATATAACATGCTTAATAATTTAATTAAAATATAAAAATGCTGTACTTTAATTTAAACATGATATGATAATATAATAAATAAACATGAAAGAAATGATGTCCTTGTTTTGTTTATTATCTTCTTCAGTTTATTAGTGAAATGTTTCAACAGAGTTTTTGTAATTTTAACCAGGTTTTATTTACGTTTGGTTGGCATTTGAAGTGCATTTCTGAAATGTGGTACAAACAAAAATAACCATGCATTTACAAATAAGGAAAACCAATAAAATGAGGTTCGTTTCTCTGAGAGCCCAAAGCTCTATGTGAGTCTATAAAAAGAGCTGTGACTCCCACAGGGTTCATTCATGGTTCAACTGAAGCTGATTTTCTGAACTTTATCATTATTTCATTTCATTAAAAGGAGATCTGTGATAAACAGCGTCGTACATTGAACACTTTGCTTACAAAAGACTCATCTATCTTTAATGAATTCATTCTTAATTTATTAACTTAATGTTCATAAATTCATTTATTACATTACTGACTGAAGAATTAAAAAAACTGTAGTTATGCCATGAAATAAATTTAAAAATGTATCTTAAAAATTACCTTTATTTATAATGTTTAACAGGTGAACCTTTATTTGTGT